CATGCCTGATCCTGTTTAGTTTAGAAGTAGCTAATGGTTTGTGAAACAGTGGGTTAAATGAATAGCGATTTCACCTGAAGGAACATCCCTCTGGGCCAAATGTTCTCAATAGTTCTTCACAGCAGAGGCAAGGGAATCCTAGAAGGGTGAAGGCCATAGCTTAGCATGGCCCAAGCAATTAATTATTCACTCTAATGCCAAGAGTGATTTAAGATTTAAGTGATGATACCTCACCTAATCCATAAGCTTCAAGTCAAGGGTAACTGTGTTGAAAGACTATTTGAAGACTTGGTTACAGGGAGGCATGTCTTTTGGAACAATTACCAAAAAGGCTTACTACAATACATATTTATATTTATTTTCCCTATGGAGTAGTGGGTAAAAAAATTCAGGTTGCAATATATATACTTTTTTAAAAAAGATCGGATTTATTTATTTGAAAGGCAGAGTTACAGAGAGAGAGAGAGAGCCAAATAGAGAAAAGAGAGAAGATCTTTTATCTGCTAGTTCACTCCCCAAATGGCTGCAATGGCCAGAGCTGGGCTGATCTGAAGCCAGGAGCCAGGAGCTTCTTCTAGGTCTCCCATGTGGGTGCAGGGGCCAAAGCAGTTGGGTCATCTTCTACTGCTTTCCCAGGCCATAGCAGAGAGCTGGACCGGAAGTGGAGCAGTCAGGACTTGAACTGGGCCCATATGGGATGTTGGCTACACCACAGCACTGGCCCCAATATTATCTGCTATACCACAATGCCAGCCCCCATGATATGATTTTCAAGTTAGATGTTTTTGAGATTGAGGTGTCATTTAGACAGCTATAAAGGAGGATTCAACCTGCAGTAGAAGCTTTGGTCTGAAGGCTGTGGGATAGACCCAAGCTAGAGGGAAACAAGAGTGTCAGACTACAGAGGGACAAATTTACCAAGGAGAACTGCAAAATAGAATGCACGGAAGACCAGAAGGAATACTTAGATGGGTCATGTTAATTGGAATAAACTAGAAAAGTTAAGGGAAAAAGATGAGATGCCATCAGTGTGGTCCTAGTAGAAACAGAATTTGCAGAAGAGTATGTACAGTACATTCAAATAAAGCAGAGAAAAAAATGTAAAGGGAGAGTTAGCATTTAGCCTAGTAGCTATGATACCAACTAAAATGTTCAAGTCCTGCTTTAGAGTGCTTGGGGTTGACTTCCAGCTCTGGTTCCTGATTCTACCTTCTTGCTAATGAAGATCCCAGGAGGCAGTTGTGATGACTCAGTTGGGGTCCGCCAGTTACTGTACAGGTAATGTTCTGTTGTGGTGACTGTTCCACAAAGTGGTTGACATGCATTGATTAGGTCAATGCACTCATATATATCTGGCTGATTTTTATCTGTTTGGTCCATGAGTTACGAAAGGAAAAGTATTAATTATATAACTTTGTGGATTTTTTTCAGTTTCTTATTTAGTTCTGTGGGTTTTGTCTCATGTTCTTTTAGATTTATTTTTTATTTATTTGAAAGACTTACAGAGAGAAGTAGAGACAGAGAGAAAGAGAGAGAAGGGTCTTCCATCCTTTGGTTCACTTCCCAAATGGCTGTGATGGCCAGAGCTGAGCTGATCTGACACTAAGAGCCAAGAGCTTCTTTAGGGTCTCCCACATAGGTGCAGAGGCCCAAGACATGGGTTGTCTTCCACTGCTTTCCCAGGCAAATTAGCAGGAAGCTGGATGGGATGTGAAACAGCCAGGGCTCGAATGCATGCCCATATGGGATGCTGGCACTGCAAGCCAGGGCTTTAACCTGCTGCACCACAGTGCTGCCCCCTCATGTCCTTTGAAACTTTGTTTTATGAACATCGACATTTATGATTATTATATCATAATGACACATGATCTATTTATTGTGAAGAAAAGTCTCTACATCTGTGGTAACATATTTTACATAAATATTGTTATTTTGTACAAAATATGATACACACTTGAGCTTTTTTTTTAAAGATTTTATTTATTTATTTGAGAAGTAGAGTTACAGATAGTGAGAGGGAGAGACAGAGAGAAAGTTCCTTCTGTTGATTCACTCCCCAAATGACTGGATCGGCTGGAGCTGCACTGATCCCAAGCCAGGAGTCAGGTGCTTCTTCCTGGTCTCCCATGTGGGTGCAGGGGACCAAGCACTTGGGTTATCCTCTACTGCCTTTCCAGGCCACAGCAGAGAGCTGGATTAGAAAAGGAGTGGCCAGGACTAGAACCGGCATCCACATGGGATGTTGATGCCGCAGGCAGAGGATTAACTTACTGCCACACAGTGCCACCCCCATCAACTTGAACTTTTTATGATTAGTGTTCATATAGTATATCTCTGTAAAATATTTATTTTTATTTAAATGGCAGAGATGGAGAGAGGTCTCATCTTTGATTCAGTTTCCAAATACCTGCAATGACTGGGACTGTGCTGTGTTGAAATCATCAGCCAGCAATTCAGTTACTTGCATCATCCAGCCCCCTAGAGTCTGAATTAGCAGGAAAGTAGAGCTGGAAGCCAGAACTGTGTATCAAACCAAGATACTCCAATATGGGATGCAGTTTTCTTTACTACACTGTACATCCCACTCTGCATGGTGCATCTTCTTTTACTTTTAGTCTGTACCTGTATTAAAATGGATCACTTATGGATATGGATAATGAAATGTCTTGTTCTTTTAATCAAACCTGACAAGTTCTGTATTAATCATCAGTCCATTTACATTTAATTAAAATGTGGTTGAAATTATGTCTGCTATTTTATTATTTATTTTCTGTTTATCTCATTTGATTTGTTTCTCTGTTTTTCTACCTTCTTTTGAGGTCATCAAATATTTTAAATTATTTTAAAAAACCCTTTTATTTGCATTGCTTATTTGGTACACACATGGAGAGAATTCCCATTCACTGTTTTACTTCTCCAGCTGCCTATAATGACTGCAACTGAGCCAAGCTGAAGCCAGAACCTGGGAACTCACTGAAGCTCTTCCTCCCATTTCACGTGGATGTCTGAAGACCAGTCCCTTGAGCCATTGCCACTGCCTACTGGGGTCCTCCCAAGAAGGAAGCTAGCACTATGAGTCTGAGCCCAGGCCCTCAAATCTGGCACACATGCATCTTAACTGACATCTAAGCACTAGACTAAAAGCTGATGCCAATAAAGTGTTTTAAATATTTCATATGGCATTCCTGTGGTATATTTAGATCTATGTTATAAATGAAACATGTTTTTCCAAAAGATATATGTGGACATTCATAGGACCTTCAAATGAGTAATTGAGATTAATAGGGTCCTTTGGATGGGCCCTTATCCAATTCAACTGCTGTCTTTGGAAGAGAAACACCAAGGATGGGGCATAGGAAAGATCAAGTGAGGACATAGAATTTGGCCATCTTCCAACCAAAGAAAAAGGCCTAGGAGAAACCAAGTCTGAAGAAGCTCACTCTTGAATTTTCATTCTCCAGAACTATGAAAAAATAAATTTCTGTTGTTTAATCCACTCAGTCTATAGTATTGAATTATGGCGGCCTTAGCAAGGGCATATAATGCTTTCTTTCTTTTTTATAGATTTATTTATTTACTTGGAAGTCAGAGTTACAGAGAGAAAAAGAAGCAGAGAGAGAGGAGGTCTTCCATCCGCTGATTCACCCCCCAATTGGTCTCAATGACCGGAGCTATGCTGATTCAAAGCCAGGAGCCAGGAACTTCCTCTGGCTCTACCACATGGGTGCAGGGGTCCTAGGAATTGGGCCATCCTCACTGCTTTCCTGGATCACAAATGGAGCAGCCAGGACTTAAACCCATATGGGATGCTGGCATTGCAGGTAGCAGCTTTACCTGCTACGCCACAGTGCTGGCCCCTACCATGCATTCTTGTATTATTTTTCTTCAATTGACACATAACCATATGATTAATTGTTCTAAGGAATTACAATATGAATAATATACCACAATATACATGAATAACACTGCACTGCATCATATGAATATAGGGTATTTTTCAAACAACAATTCCATTATGATCCCTGTACAATGTGCTATTTTTATACCAATGTGTACATACTGAATTAACACATGTGTGCCACACATGGTGTGATAGCTTTTGCTTCAAATAATGATCTCTCTCTTAAGGAAATTAATTATCTATATTCACCACTGCACATGCTTGTCATCTTTAGTGATTCTGATTTGTCGCTGTACATCCAATAAAGAATCTTCCAACATTTTTTTCAGCTTGTAGACTTCCTATAGCATTCAATAGTGTAGGTCTGCTGATGACTAATTATGTTAGTACTTTTGTCTGGAAATTTATTCACCTCATGTTTTAATTTTTATGTATTTTTATTCATTTGGAAGGCAGACTGACAGATCTTCCATAAATTGATTCACTCTTCAAATGCACATAGCAGTCAGGTAGGGCCAGGCCAAAGCCAGGAGCGCAGGATACAGTTTAGGTCTCCCTTGCAGAGATCAGGGGACCAAGTACTTGAACCATCATCTCATGCTTCCTGGAGCAGCAGTAGCGGTAGCAGTGGCAGAAGCAGGCAGGTTGGTGAAAGCATCCCAGGCAGCAACTTAATCTGCTGTGCCATAATGCTTGCCCTTATTAACCTCATATTTTGGAATGGTTTCACTCAATAAAGAATCTGGAAAGGGGGCCAGCACTGTGGCGCAGCGGGTTAAAGCCCCGGCCTGAAGCTCCGGCATCCCATATGGGTGCTGGTTTTAGTCCCGACCACTCCTCTTCCAATCCAGCTTTCTTCTATGGCATGGGAAAGCAGTAGAAGATGGCCCAAGTCCTTGGGCCCCTGCACCCATGTGGGAGACCTGGAAGAAGCTCCTGGCTCCTGGCTTTGGATTGACCCAGCTCTGGCCATTGCAGCTATTTGGGGAGTGAACTGGTGGATGGAAAACTCTCTCTCTTTCTCTTTCTCTCTCACTCTCTGCCTCTGCCTCTCTATAACTCTTCCTTTCAAATAAATAAATATATCTTAAAAACATACCAGCTTTGCAGCTAACTTTGTGGTCCAGGGGTTAAGCTGCTAACTGCCACGCCGGCATCCCATATGAGCTTCAGTTTGAGTCCCAGCTGCTCTGCTTCTGACCCAGCTTCCTGCTGATGCACCTGGAAAAGAGCAGAAGATGGCCCCTGTGCTCATGTGGAAGACCCAGATGGAGTTTCAGGCTCCTGGCCTAAGCTTGGACCAGCCCTGATCTTTGTGGCCACTTGGAAAGTGAAGCAGCAGATGGAAGATCTATCTGTCTCCCTGTGTCTGTGCAAGAGGATGAAGGAGGCCGGGCCTCAGGGGTTGCTGCTGTGGGTGAGATTACACCCCACACTCAAGACTGACCAGTCACACAGCCACACCATGGTGAGCCCACCAGCTTGCAGCCAAACTACTGCTTGCCTTGAGTCCTCTGTACCCATAATGTGTTATCACTGCCCACCCCTATCTTCCCACAAGCATTGAAAGTGTGTGTCTCCATTATGACTGAAGTCTTTGCAAGGTGACTCAAGTTCTGCCCAGAGCACCAAGGCATTGGGGACAGAGGAGCAGAAACTGCTTTCATGATGCTCCTGTTCCACCTGTTGTACAGGCTAGCCCTCAACCAGACCCACACCCTTCCTCCCTCCCTCCTTCCCTCCCTCCCTTGCTAGGGAGGGTAGCAGTTTTAGAATACTGACTGCTTGTCCCCCCAGCAAGGCTGTGGGAGGAGATGTCAGAATACCAAAGCAACTGCCCCACCCACCCTTCACTGGGCAGATGATTCTGCCTGTACATTGGGGGACACATGACATTTTGCCAGGACATTTGTGGACACCATGGAAAACAAAACCACCTGGGGCCCTGCTACTCTCATGTGAGAATGTACAAGAACAAGCCAAGATTAAGGGGTGGAGGAAAAGCGGTGGCATTTTAAGAAAAGTGGTGAGAAAAGAGGTGATCCATGGGCAGAGAAGTGAAAGAAGGGAGGGGAGCATTGCAGGTGGCGGGAACAGCACACTCTGAGTTCCCACTAAAGAAAGATTAGTGAAAGCAGGTGCATGATTCGAACATGTTTTGCTTTCGATTCATCCCAGAAGAGGGCAGGGAGGACAGGAAGAAGCTGATGTGGAATTGAGTAAAGTGTGTCATCTACTCTTTATCAGGCTAACAGCTTTTTGTAGAAGGGCCCACAATCTGGAGCAAAGTCCATCTGTTTTATAGCATGTTTCCAGAATCAGCTATAAACAACTGGATGTGTGACTAGCTGGTGGGAATCCTTGCATTCTGTCAGTGTAGCCTCAGCCCCACAATACAGCAAGGTAGAAAAGAAATCAGAACCTCTGAGCCTTGTCTTCCCCCCAAACCCACCCTGGGGGGTAATGAAGAATTACTGGAGGAGATTGTTTCACTGTGTGTAAGGGAGGGAGAGAGGAGAGTGGGTGCAGGTTAGGGGGAGGGAGTCTCAAACTCTCACCTGAAATGCAGGTCTGTCATTCAGGATCTTCCTGGTGTTATACAGGTGATGCTTAAATTCATTTCGTGATTTGGTCAAGGTCAAGTTTTCATTTTCATTTCTTTCTTTCATACAAGCACATCCTAACATATCCTCACCCCCCAGTAACTCAGGGTTGCCATACTAGCTGTTTCCAAAATGTTCATGAAAAATGCAAAAACATATGCATGGATTTCGAATTTTTCCCCTAAAATAAATGTAGTTTTCAGCTCCATTTCCCATGAACGTGAGTGACACTTGTATTTCAGCATTTCAGTTACATGTGACTTCCCACTTACCTTGCTTTTTCATGATCCTCTACATTGAAGGTGAAGGCAGGAATGGTTTCTGTTTGTCTTGTAGTCCTAGAATGGGTTTCTGTTTGTTTTGTAGTCCTAATCCTTCTTCAGTGCCTGTTAACAACTGAATAAGTGACTTGTAAAAGTGTTCTGTGCCTAAGTGCTCCTTTACCTTGTACTTACAGAAAGTGACCTAGCCCGAGGCTCTGACACCCAAATGAGGTGTTTCTACAAATGAGATATTTCTCCTTGAATGGAGAGGGAAGAAAATAAAGCGTTCAATTATGCCTTCAAATAAAACCTCATTTGAGACTCACTCAATCTTCCCAACAAACTGCACCCACACCCCCCTATCACTCTCTGCACGACACAAGACTTCTGCCAGGGAGTCTCCATTAAGCAAGTCTGAGCATGCGCAAGTAAGAGTTGCTCTGCACAGGTCAAAGCATATATAGACAAAGCTTAGCTGGGGACAGTGCTGACTAGAAGACTGGGTGCTTGACCATAACATGTGGAGAGAATGGCTCAAGACCTGACTCAAACAGGATTCTAACTCCTGTCCAGCTGGCCTTCCCAGGTTACACGGACTCTGACAAGAAGGTGAACCAGCAGCTCCACCTGCTGGCCAGTGTGACCCGTAGGTGGAGAGTCCAGGAGGGTAGGTGCATGAATTTCACAGGTCCTGAGCACCTTTGCCTTTTGAGTGGCAAATGCTCCTGCCGCCTTCCTCCCCCACTAGCATGAAGGCCTTGCATGCCAGTGGATTCCACGGAGCTGCCAAGTTTGCTTGAACTGTGTGATAGATGCCTCCTGATAGTACAAGTCTCGTGCCTGCTGGACTTCTCTCCCCATCTGTAAAAGCAGGAAGATGGAATTATATCTAACAGAGGTCCTCTCCAACTTTAATATAAAGAGGGTAAAAATTAAGAATCAGAAGAGACTGAGAGGAAACATATGGAATTTGAACGGTGGAGACCTGGTAGGCTGGTTGACGTGTGGTTCTAGTTATTGGTTGGAGAAGATCAAGTTCCCCATTCAAGTTCTCCCTTTCTCTGAATCCCATGGCCTCCGAGAAGTTCAAATGGTCAGAACTTCCTACACAGAGATCCCATCATCATTTGTTTCCTATAGGGAACAAATATAAAGTGTTTCATTTAACTCATAATTACTAGCAATACACATTTCAGGCCCAAGCGTGGGGCCCTTTGGGCTTGATTCATGAACCAAGTAACTTCTTTATTTTTGAAAGATTTATTTATTTATTTGAAAGTCAGAGTTACACAGAGAAAGGAAAGGCAGAGAGAAAGAGAGAGAGAGAGAGAGAGGTCTTTCATCTGCTGGTTCACTCCCCAAATGGCTGCAACAGCTGAAGCTGCGCCAATCTGAAGCCAGGAGCTTCTTCCAGGTCTCCCATGTAGGACTTGGGCCATCTTCCACTGCTTTCCCTGGCCATAGCAGAGAGCTGGATTGGAAGTGGAGCAGCCAGGACTAGAACTGGTACCCATATGGGATGCTGGTGCTTCAAGCCAGGGTGTTAACCCACTGTGCCACAGTGCCAGCCCCTCAAGTAACTTTTCTAAAGATTCCTATTCTCCAGAAGAAAACCCAAACCTATATCATACAAGTTAAATTCCTAGAAGAAAATTCAGATTTAAATCTGCCTTAGGCTTCCCATTACATCTATCAGATTAAGAAATTAAGACTAGCACAATACAAGGTTCTTAGAGGAGCAGTTGATTACATGCAGTTTCTACAAATAGGGATAAGTTATGAAATGGCCATAAAAAGCCAGTTGAGGAGGTAAGGATGGTTAGGGATTGTTAGATATAAAATCTTGAGTCTCTGTTTATAAAATGAAGTCTTTTCAGTGAGCAGGATGTTGCGATGTGTCTGGTAAATTCTCCAGTGGGGAACACTTGGGTGTGTTGAATTAGATTCCAGGCAGCTAATACTTGGGAATACTTTCACAGGAGACCAAAGGTGGGTGTATCACTGGTGGTGCCCAGCTTGCCCCTTGATCCTTCTTCACTGTGGGAGCAAGGAATTACAGCTTGGAGAGACAAAAGTAGGAGTAGGACAGCAGAGGTTTTTCAAGTTTGTTCAAGGAAAGAACGGGCTGTTGTGAGAAAGTGTGGCACTCACTCTATTCCTGGTCTCCGGCTTCATCGACTGGTGATGTGGCCATGATGCTCACGATTTGCATTTTTTTCTCTGACTGTGTTGCTTTATTTATTTATTATTATTTTTATTTTTCCCCCAAGAAACCTTTTAGCCAAGGAATACAAACCTCATGCATTTCACAAGCCAACCTTAGGAACACAGTGATTCTTCCCCCCACACCCACACTCCCACGTATTCTCCCACCTCTCCTTCCCTTCCCTCTCCCATTCCCGGTCCCATTCTCTTTGAGGACAGAGGTCCTGCATGGGAAGTTAGTGCCATGACTCTTGTTGCTAGTTTAACAGTTAACACTCTTACGTATGATATCAGTGATCACCCAAGGCTCTCAACATGAGCTGCCTAGGCTATGGAAGTCTTTTGGATCCAAAATCCTTCAGGAAGTGGCAAGTATTTCTGGGGCTCAAGCTAGAAATCGGGCCTTCAGAGTAGAAAGATGGGACTGAGAGGAACATTCCCAATGGGGCCTGTGGATGTCCACTGAGCTAGCCTGGACACAAGCCCTGGAAATCTGGTGGAAGGCTGAAGGTCTAAAGAGACCAAGACAGCCTGTCCAAAGAAGGTAGAATATGGTTGGACATCACTTATACAAGAGTTTGAGCTTGATTTTGGACACTTTTATGCATTTTGTGTATCAGCAAAGGCAGACTTGCAATGGCAAAGTTGGGAGAGAGTAACAAGAGAAACCTAATCCATTCTGTGCAGGAGAGGAGGGTAGGGTTCTGTGGTGCCGAGACCCAGGGGTATCTTCTTATGCCTGCTCTGTCTCCCAGTTACAGAGTCCTCACCCTGCCTCCTCAGGACACATGCTCCCCTCACACTGGTTCTTCAGGTCAAGGTGATCTTGATTTGGGAATGTTTTAACTGATGGAAAAGCACAGATTGATTTTTTTAAATTATTATCCAAGTAATAAGCCTACCACTTCTCATTATGCTTGGCAGCCTATTTGAATGCAGTCCACAAGACACAGATATGAATAGTCTAGAAAATATCTGAACCAAAATCAAATATTCTTCCAAATGAAGTTGAACTTATTGTTGTTTGGACTCACGTTATTGGATTCATGTACACGATCATTTTTATGTTTTCATACACTGCTCCATTGGCCTGATGAGGTGGTTCCAGTTTTAGAGAGAGAAATAGATTCAGAATGATTTTCCCAAGGTTGCAAAACCATACGCTTGCTCCCATCACAGGTTCCATGGACTGGATTCCTTCTATGGGTGTGACTAAAGCAGTAACCTGGGAAGCAAAGAGGACTTCATAGCAGCCTAAGCATCTGTAGTCACCTCCTTGGGCAAGAGCTAGTGAAACTGAATCCTGGTCTGCAGCTATATTCCATGTCACCAACTACAGTAGCCACCTACTTTATTTTAAACAAGCCTTAGACAAATCATTTTTCTGAGCATTTTCTGACCTCTTAACTTGACAAGAAAATGAGAGCATAAGGAAAGCATTATTTATGAATTTTAAGCAAAAGTGGACACTAACTTTGCAGGGAAGTTTATCTGGGCTAGGAAGTGGCAAGGAACTAACATACAAACAGTCACTGTGCTGCAGAAACTTGACATTTATCCTAAAAGGTAAAGAGATCATTCCCCTTGTATAATGGAAAGGCAAGTTCCAAGTGATTACTTGCTCAAAATTGGTGTCAGAGGCAAGATTCCAACCTAGAACTGACTAGTACCAGGCCAGGTGCCCAGAGATTTGAAAGCTGAGATTACACCATAACCAACCTAAGTTACATGGAGCCCGAACTGAAACATCCCCAGATATCCCACTAAAAAACTGGAGGACTTCCTCCAATTTAAATATCAGTCATTTCACTAAGCAATTACCACCTGCCGCACACTACAATGAAGTTAAAACAGCACACAATGAAAGATACAAGCAATTCTGATCCAAATATTTCAGCTTCTTTTTACTAAGGTCAGTCCACTTGTAAAGAGGTTAACAAGCCCTGTGGGAAAAGAGAATTGAAGTTAGAGAACACACACTGAGTGAGACGGCTGAGCCACTCAGAAGTTAGCTGACTTCACAGAGGGAGATAAGTCTTAAGAGAAACTCCACACAGCTCCTACAACAGCAGCCCACCATAGGGCTGAGCTCCTTGTGGAAGTCCAGCAAAAACTCACGCCTTGATGACTATTTCATGCATATTTCACATCATTCAACCCTTAATTATTAAAATCCGAAGCTGAAGGTAAAAATCAAAGCTAAAGACAAAAGAGTGCTTTCCATTCTAGATCATTTGCTTCGCTAATGATCTAGACAATTAAAATAGGGTACAGGGACAGGCATTTGGGTTTGCAGTTAAGCTACCTGTTAGGATGCACATGTCCCATACTGAACTATCTGGGTCTGATTCCTGGTTCAGGCTCCTGATTCAGCTTCCTGCTAATATGGATCATGAGAGGCAACAAGTCTCAAGTTGTTGGGTTCCTGCCACCCACATGAGAGACCTGAACTGAGTTTTGTCTCCTTGTACTAACAGCTGCCAGCTGTTGTGGGCATGCGGGGATTGACCAGTGGATGGGGTGTGTGTGTGTGTATGTTTGTTATGAGGCTTTCAGTTAATTCCCAAAATGAGATTTTTTCTCAATTGAGGGAAACTAGGTAATTGGAGTCAATGAGAACAGAATCCAAATACAGATAAGAGATAGCTGGACACAAGTGAATTGAGAAAGACTGTGAATGTAGTAGAAGCCCAAGAGAATTCGATAATCTTAATGTTGACCAGCTAGATATTAACCAATGTTACTGTGGGCAAAGATTGACCATTACTCCTGGTCTTTTCTTTCATCTGAAAAGTGACAGCTGGAAAGAGATGCAACTTAACTCTTTAACATCTGTAAAATATTTTCATGGACAGGCTGTTTAATGACCATTCTCAATATGTATTCCACAAAAAAAAGGGGTGTGTGTGAAATCAATTTGGGAAAGTGGTTTGGAGCAGACGAAATGTATTGCTTTCCTGCCGGACCAAGAGTGTTGAACATGCTAACATGCTGCATTATTACCAAAGTGGCTCCGGGCTGCACACTTCTTTGAGTACTGCTCAGAAACTGGTGTCACTTAGCAACTTTGAGAAATGTGTCAGGTTCTCATGCAAGGGTACGTCAAAATATTAGTGGGAAATGGAATTAGGAGATAAGTTTATTTGGGGGCCAAGAAATTTTGAAATCCATGCATACATGGTGGTCTTCAAAAAGCTCATGGGAAAGGAATATTATGAAAAAGCTGTGTCTGGGTTTTTATTTATTTTTTAAAGTATTCCCAGAACGTGAACAAGTTAGGGAGAAGGTCTATTGGGCTTGGACACTGCCAATGCAAACACTAGGATGCCCAAGATTTTATCCTAAAAACATGCTGAGAAGGGTCAGCTGAACCGGATCTCTAATGAGCTGATGGAAGAAGGCTCACCTGGTATCTTCCAGTTCACTGCCAAGATGAACATTTTCTTTATTTATAGGCAGTTCTTTCAACACAGAGAAGGGCTCCCCATGTCCTGCTGTCACACAAGAGCAGCCTCATCTGCAGCCAACAACAGAGCCCATAGGCCACTGGAACCCCCATTGCTCCAGGACTTCTTCCAAGAATGTGGGGTCTCACTTTTCAGGAGACTCAGATTTTGCAACCCTAAGGAAGAGTCAAGTTCTTGTAAGCTGTTACCAAAATAGTGACCCACGCTGAGGGTACAATTTAGAGTTTGATGACCCAATAAGCACATTATTTTCTACCAAGCTGTACAGGTTTTAGTTATACATTTAAAGATAATCCAGTTTTAGGTTTAAGCTCCAGAAAAGCAAGGGGCTTATGTCTTCTGTGAGAGAGCATGTGACTTTACTGTCTTCCACGCATATTAAAAACACCCTACCATTGTAGTGGCCAGGTCCCAAGAACAGCAAGAGATCCAGCAAATCCGGCTCCAGCAGGACACTTGACCTTGTACTTCTCATCAAATTGTAGCTGCAGAACCTGTGTTTCATGTGCAAGGGAAGTTTGGTTCCATAACTTTCACTTGTAGAGGTAGAAACAAATTCTAAACATGACAAAAAGCTATTAATCACATTATTTTGGACGGGTTTGATCTTTAAATCCCAAGCCCAGTCTCAGAGATGGGAACTGAGTTGGAAGTAAGTGACCTGCCGGAGCTTTAACTGTGACAGTTAAGAGTTAGAGGGGCCGGTGCTGTCATGGAGCAAGTTAACAAGGTGCCTGCAGTGCCCGCATCCCATGTGGACTGGGTTGGAGTCCCGGCTGCTCCACTTCCGGTCCATCTCGCTGCAATGGAAGATGGCCCAACTGCTTGGGCCCCTGCAGTCACGTGGAAGACCCGGATGAAGCTCTTGGCTCCTGGCTTCCCATCGGCCCAGCTGTGGCTGCTGGGCACTAGGGTGTGGAGGAGCTCCCTTTCCACCTGCCGAACACGCAGGGAGTGAAAAACACCGAGCACACCTGCAGGCTGGGAAAGTGGCAAGAAGAAGGGCTGGGGCACCCACTCCTTCCACATCCAGGGCGTCCCCTACAGGACCGCCAGCCGCGCGAGGGCAGAATGCGCATGGGCTGGCCGTCAGGGACCCCAAGTTCTCCGCCTACCGGCCCCACAGCACCTGGTAGCCCGCGCCCCCCTGCGCCTTGCAGAGCCAGGTGTGTGGCCTCTCTGCAGCGCTGCTCTGCCCGCCTGCGCGGGAGTCCCTGATGCTGCCCGCACACAGGGCCTGGGGGGTGACAAGGCACCAGGGACCCCGCGCTCGGTGCCGGCGCCCAGGATGGAGCTGCGCTCTCCAGAGCAAAGCGCGGGCTGCGTGGAGCCAAGGGACGCGCTTTGTTCCCTGCCGGGGTGCGGACATGGGGTAGGGGGTAGGGATCATTGGTGTCTCGGGCTCTTGGTGAAGACCTGAAGGGCAAGGGGCTCTGGCTGCTCTGGACAGCTCCTCAGCTCCTTAGCGGGGAGGAGTGGCTGGACCCTGAGGCCCCTGCCATGACGGAGCGCACTCAGCCGAGGTTCAGCCATCCTGGCCCTTGTCACACTCAGGGATGAGGAAGGGTGATCAGCGACCCTGGATGTACTCCCTGCATATCTTAGCAGGCAGACTCTGCTTTCCCAGGTGTGGGCGGGAGCGGAGGTTCTGTGTTCATCAGAGACCTAAGGCTTCCAGGCCTTCTTTGAGGGTCCTCCGGCCGCTGTGGAAAGCAAGGGCTTGGTGACTCCACAGCCAGGGCAGCACCGTGACTACGGGGCTCCCGGCTTCCACGGGCACTCAGGCATAGTGAGGGCATCACTGACCCTGAGTTTAGGGGAGCAACTCTGGAGACATCAGCCCTCTGGTTGGTGAGCGGCAATGCAAAGCGAACTCTGCAAGGGCCTGAAGGTCATTGTCACTGCAGTCTGTAGGAGGCGCTTCAGCGATCCACAGCACAGGCACTGTGACCTTGAACTTGATGGAATAACTCAACCAGAGCTAGCAGGATCCCCACTGGGCTACCACCTGACAGCGCCAGAAGAGCTTAGAGGACACCAGTCCAAAGCCACTGTTTAGGAGAGAGAGAGAGTTAGACGGCAGCAGGTTCTTGCATCTGGTTGAATGGCAAGAGATGACTGACAAATCTCTTGGGAACGATGGAGCTGGGAAACCACTATTTTGCAAACATCATTAGTAATGATTATGTCAAACAAGATGCATCAATGTGTAAATCTGGGAGAAAACTTGGCATATACGTGCATGTTAACAAGATAAACCACTACAGACTGCTTATCCATTGCAAGGGAAAAAAAAAAAAAAAAAAACAGAACCATCATGCTAGAGAAATCAAATGATCAACATTAACATTCCCAGGGGAGGACAGAGATTTTTTTTTTTTTTTCCCCCAGCGCCTCCAGTGGGATACCCCGAGGCAAACACTCCTTGATGAGCTTGAGTGAGAAGGCCTGTGCTGAATCACACAGAATCAAACAACATCCAACTGTAAAGATGGCAGGGGAGCTGTATTCTCAAATGTGTATGTGCTAGCAGACTAAGAAAGGCTGTGTGGGGCCGGCGCTGTGGTACAGCGGGTTAAAGCCCTGGCCTGAAGCACTGGCATCCCATAGAGGCACCAGTCCTAAGTCCTGGCTGCTCCTCTTCTGATCCAATTCTCTGCTACGGCCTGGGAAATCAGTAAAAGATGGCCCAAGTCCTTGGGCCCCTGCACCCGCGTGGGAGACCCGGAAGAAGCTCCTGGCTTCACATTGGCCCAGCTCCAGCCGTTGCAGCCAACTGGGGAGTGAACCAGTGGATGGAAGATATCTCTCTCTGTCTCTACCTCTCTCTATAACTCTTCCAAATAAATAAA